GATGTCCATGTGTAGAGTCTTCTCTTGTGTTGTTGGAAGAGGGTGTTTGCTATGACCAGTGCGTTCTCTTGGCAAAACTCTATTAGCCTTTGCCCTGCTTCATTCTGTACTCCAAGGTCAAATTTGCCTGTTACTCCAGGTATTTCTTGACTTCCTACTTTTGCATTCCAGTCCCTTATAATGAAAAGGACATCTTTTTTTGGGTGTTAGTTCTAGAAGGTCTTGTAGGTCTTCATAGAACCATTCATCTTCAGCTTCTTCAGCATTATTGATCAGGGCATAAACTTGAATTACTGTGATATTGAATGGTTTGCTTTGGAAACAAACAGAGATCGTTCTGTCATTTTTGAGATTGTATCCAAGTACTGCATTTCAGACTGTTTTGTTGACTATGATGGCTACTCCATTTCTTCAAAGGGATTTTTGCCCACAGTAGTAGATATAATGGTCATCTGAGTTAAATTTACCCATTACAGTCCATTTTAATTCACTGATTCCTAAAATGTCGATGTTCACTCTTGTCATCTGTTTGACCACTTGCAATTTGCCTTGATTCATGGACCTAACATTCCAGGTTCCTGTGCAATATTGTTCTTTACAGCATTCGACTTTATTTCCATCACCAGTCACATCCACAACTGGGTGTTTTTGCTTTGGCTCCATCTCTTCATTCTTTCTGGAGTTATTTCTCCACTGATCTCCAGTAACATATTAGATACCTACCGACCTGGGGAATTCATTTTTCAGTGTCCTATCTTTCTGCCTTTTCATACTGTTCATGGGGTTCTTAAGGCAAGAATACTGAAGTGGTTTGCCATTCCCTTCTCCAGTGGACCACGTTTTGTCAGAACTCTCCACCATGACCCATCCGTTGGATGGCCTTACATGGCATGCCTCATAGTTTCATTGAGTTAGACAAGGCTGAGGTCCATGTGATCAGATTGGTTAGTTTTCTGTGATTGTGAGAAAGCCTGAATATTGGTATCTTTAAGTCTTTGGGACCCAACTTAGGGAAAGAAAGCTGCATGTGTATAGGGGTTGTCTCATCATTCAGAATATTTTTTCACTTTATGTCTCCCCTTTTCAACCTATCCTTGCTACTCAAACTGCTATACAGCCATGCCATCATCTGTGAGTCTGTTTAGAAATGTAGATTCCAGGGCCCCACCCCAGATGTATGGAATCAGAATCTGTACTTTTACAAACTCCCAGGTGATGTGCCCATTAAAGTTGGAGAAGTGCTGCTCTACAGTCTTTTTTCATCAGATGATCTGTTTGAACAGGAGGCAAGGCATATTAATATTTCCACTATGATTGTAGTTTCTCAAATTATCTTTATATTTCTAATCTTTGTTTTATAAGGCTTGAAGTCATATCATCTGATACACAGAAGTTCCTATTTTTATACCTTCCTGGTGGATTAAACTTTTTACTTCTATCCCCCTCCCTTTTAAAAAACTTTTTAAAAGATAATTTTGATTCACATGCAGTTTTTAAGAATACAAAGAAACCCCATGTGCCGAACAAACCATAGTGCAGTATCTATATGTAGATATTTGTAAAACTATAGCCAATACCACAGCCAGGACATTGACACTGATACAGTCAAGATGGAAAACAGCTCTGTAACTAGGGATCATTCATGTTGTTTCCTCCTAAATTGGCAACCATTGAGCTGTTTTTCATTTCTATGATTTTGTCATTTCAAGAATAGTATATAAATAGGATCATGTATTATGCAACGTTGGGGACTGGCCTTTTTCATTCAGTATAATTCGTTGGAGATTCATCCAGGTTGCTGTGTGTATCAACAGTTTATTCCCTTTTATTGCTGAGTAGTTTTCATGGCATATATGTACCACAGTTTGTTAAAACATTTACTTGTTGAAGGACATTTGGGATGTTTCCAGTTTTTGGCTATTATGCATAAAGATGCTCTGAACATTCATGTACAGGTTTTTGTATAAACATAAGTTTTCATTTCTTTGGGACAGATGCTTAGGAGTGCAATGACTGGTTGCATGTTAGTTTTTTTTAAGACACTGCAAACACTAGCAATATATAATTCAGTTTCTTTACATCCTCACCAGCATTTGGTGTTGTATTAATTTTTGTTTTACCATTACATGACAGATCAATTCATGGAGAACTGGCATCTTTATAATGCTGAGTTTTTCCATCCATGTACACAGTATATGTCTCCGTTTATTTATTTCATCAGCATTTTGTAGTTTTCGGTATACAAGTCCTTTACATGTTTTGTTAGATTTACACTAAGTATTCCATTTTGTGTGTGTGAAAGGGACTACATTTTTAATTTCATTGCCCAAGTGTTCATTGCCAATATATATAAACAAAATTTATTTTTCTATGTTTATTTTATATCCTGTGACCTTGCTGAATTCATTTATTGGCTCTAGAGATTTTTTTGTAGATTTGTTTGGATTTTTCTACATAGACAATGATGTCATCTATAAATACTGATGATTTCAATTCTCCCTTTCCTATCTGTATGCCTTTACTTTCTTTTCTTGCCTTATTGCACTGGCTATAACTTCCAGTGCTATGTTGAATAAGTGTCATAAGAGCATATATCCTTGCCTTACTATTGATTTTTAAATACTATAAAACTCTACATCTTAATGCTTTTTAACTTGAATTCCACTATAGACTAATACTTAACACTGCCCCATTTTTATTTGCATGTTAACTCTTTCTCTAAACAGTTGAAGAGGTTTTCTGTTTTTTTAAAGAGGATATTGTAAAAGAAATGAGGTCTCTCCCATTTCTGATTTCTGTGATCCTCTTATGTATTTTCTATCTAAATTCAAGAAAAATATACCAAAAAGGATGTTGATTTTATTATCATAATCATTCCCCAGTTATGAATTCCTCCCCAAATGTACTTAGAGAATTGTACATGTGAAAACTCATAAGTACAATTAAATCCACATATTGAATAGATCCAGATGAAATTTTAATTAAGGATTTTAATTAGTTTGGTATAGAAAATGAAGAACCTTACTTCCAAGGGGAAGAAAACTTTCTTTAAAGGCAATGTTTAACAGATAATCAGATGTATTAAACAGACATAAAACAGTAACAGTATTTTTTTCCCTACCCCAGGCCTTTCCCCTTGTTTGATCTGACTACTGTGCAACTCAAGGAAACTCCCTTTAGCCAGTATCTGTCAAACAGCACTACTTTTCAGGACCGCTTTATCCATCTATACTGTGACTCATTTGGCATCTCCCTAACCAAAGAACAAGAACCAGAGGTTTCCACGGGTTCTCCATCCCAATAAGAGAAGAGACATCTCAGGAATCATGAATTTTTCTCCTTCTAATCAGGTAGTGCTTTGATTATTGCAACTGTCAGTGGAAGTCATGTATTTGTCTGGTGTTTCCCATATGTTAGGCAATGACGAATTACAAAATTGTACTGATGGCTCTTTAAAATCTAGAATAAAAGTTCTTTACATCAGTATGTTTGGGTGTGTCTGGCTTTTGAAAGCAACTGAATGAAACTACATAAACTGACACATTTAAGTAAGCTGCTTCCCCAGCAGCTAAATATCAATTCAGTAAATTCAAATTATGTCATCTAAATGCTAAATTCAAGAAGCTATACTGTCATTATTAGATGGTTACATACTTTTTCTGTAGCATTCTTTTCCTATAGCAGTATGTAACTACATTCTATACGTATACATTTCTATAGCAGCATGTAACTATAATATGTAGCTACAGTACATAGTTACATTCTTTCCCTGTAGTGGTAGGTAGCTAACAAATGAAACACCTTGATTTTCCTACAGTTTGAATAGAAAAAATAGGATGTGTGGTAAACAATCACAGTATTCTTGCTTGGAGAGGCCCCATGGACAGAGGAGCTTGGCGGACTACAGTCTAGGGGGTCACAAAGAGTCGGACACAATGAGCAACTAAGCACGGCACAGTTCAGATTTATTTCATGTTTTGCAATTACTTTATGTCAATCAGAATAGAAAACAGTGTTAGTAACAATCAAGTTGAGAAAGGATGGTGGTGACTATGCTGTCACTAAACAGAACTACTGTTAGCCAGAATGCTAAAGTGCTTTCGAACAAAGCTATTCACTGTACATAGAAACCACTATGGTCTTAGGTTAATCATTTACATTTTTTTCTTTTGCATGCTTGTGAGCCAAGCAGACTCAGTGGTACTATCTTAAATGGTCTAAGATAAAATTTTGTTACTCTGCTTAGGGAAAAGATTAGGTTCATCATCAAACATTAATATTCTTGGTATGAAAGCTAAATTGAGGCACTGTTCTTTCTCTCACTGGGAAAAACAAAAAAGGATTCTTTTGAATATTTATTCAGGTGTAAGGAACTGGAGAGGGTATAGTGGTTTTTAGGATTAAGAAGTGTGCCTGGGAAGAGAAAGAGAAGTTAGAAGTCTATGAAAGGGGAGAGGAATCGGAGTCATTCAAGCAACAAAAGGTATTTTTATTTCCTGTGAGCAGTCCGGTCATGCATTTCATTTTGTAAAAGTCTGGTGGTACCGCATAGAAGGCCTTGTAGACAAACCTCAGACTGTCTGTCAGTATCCAAGGTCTGTGATACTTCTATAAGCCACGCTATTTTAACAGGTAAAAACAAATCCAAAAAGATATTTAAAAATTTTTCTTCTCTGATGCCAAAAAGGAATGATTACTGCTCCCACTTTTTCATAAAACATTTTCTTTGAAAAACTTGTAATTTAAATCCTTTTTCTCTGTTTTGGAGATGTATGCTAGTATTTTTTAAAAAGTGAATGAACCTTCTGCCAGTTTTCCATCCTAGGACTGTCTTCTGGGGGCAGGGCTGTTGAAGCCACTTTGAAATGTGAGCATTTCAGGGGCACTTTGTCTTCCTGATGCTGGGAGTTTAGCCTAAGGACTTGGCTCCAGGTAGTAACTTTCTGTTTGTCACAAAGATATGAAAAGTTTTAATTTCTTTTGGATACAGACAGTTAACATGTCAAGAATGGATCATATCTGCCTGGCTATATAAAAGGGTGAGAGGTCCTTGTCTCAGCAATCTCTTTAGTGACCTGCCTGTAATGTGCATCACAGTCTGATTTAATGCTGATTCAATAATTATCTGGGATTATCTGAGTTGGCAGGTGATTTTACTTTGTTATGTTTTCCCAATGTGTTCTAAAACCAGATGAAGTACTAGAATTTATCAGGAAGTCTTATAGTTACCCAGAAGGAGAGCTATTGCTATCTTTGTTTTAACAAGGGGCAAAGTTGAAACATAAATAAAGGGAGGGCACTGTGAGTCAGTGGCAGAACTAGGAATGGAGCAGCAGTTCAAACTCTGATTCTGAATGAAGAGGAGAAAGAAAACACAGAAATGCCTCATTTATTCCCCCACATAATTTAGTTTGATTTTCAAGTGAAGTGAACCAGCCTGCCCTACAGGTCAATGGAATATACTGCTGCGTCGTTTTCTAGGGTGGTCGCCCGTGGAGCATAATCCTGTAATCGCGCTTCTCGCACAAAGTCAGACAAGGTCAAGGAGTCAGACTTAACTCCACTGTGACCTTTTCTCTCTAAAAATAAGCCAATGTTGTCTCTGTAGGGACGGCGGATGGAGCGTGTGAATAATGGCTCTTCAATTCCCAGCAGCTTCCTGGTATGCCGAGAAATTACCTGTAATGCAAGGATAGTTTTTTAATGGGAATTTCCTGAAAACACAACTAAAAATCGAGTTAAGTTTTACTTAGTTTCATAGCCCTCTTGAATGTCAACCCCTCAAGCTAATTCTATGAGGAAATAAAACAGTGAATACACTGAAAGGCTTCCCACCCTGGCATTATCAAAACACATTTCTTAAGAGAAACATCACATGATTTATCTTTCTAAAAGTACCACTTAAAGATATTTCTAGGCCCTTGGATCAAATAGGCACAGATGGGTTCATTTCTTTTTTTTTTTGGCTGAGCAATCTGACCAATGATATGAGCAGATAATATGTTCAGATTAGGAGCCATGACTTTCTCTAGGAAGGTTAACAAATAACTTGTCTATAAGGGGCTCAGTTAATAATCAACTAAGAAAAAAGTAATTACTCAAACAGTTATTCAATGCACTGGACTGGAAATAAATCTCAAACACTAAAAAGCAGACATGAAAATCCCAGTTAAAATTTATTAGTGCTTATACTTGTGCATTTTTTTTAAATACTTTTGCCAGAATTTTCAACGTCTCTAAAATGTAATTTGTATTCACTGAGTACCATGCCACTTGATATGCTCGATTAAACTGTCATTATACTTTCAAAGTCTAGTTTTAATTGTAGATCTGCTATAACATTGCTATTTGAATTCATATTCTGCCTCTGGGTGAGAATGTATACAGTCCATGAGACTGCTGCTAGAACACAGTCAGAGGAGTACGTGGAATGAATTTTCATTTGTTTAAAAATACTGGCCATAGTCACAAGGCTGTAAAATTCACACCACAGATATTTCTAAGCCTGATGCAAAACTTCCCATAAAGCGCATTTTAGATAAGTAAGATAACTTTCTTCTCAAATCTTACTTAAATTGGAGTTGTTCAGACTCTAGGGATGGTTGTAGGTAAAAGACAGAGTCTATATCATTGCCTTGGCATTCCCAGTGGGAATACTAATTGAGGTCTGTAGTCACTGAGATTTCAAGATTCAAAAGACAAACACAGAGGAGTTCCTTAAGCTGAGTTCCAATTAAACATGGAAGAAATGGAGAAATAGGAAATCGTCATTAGAATAACAGCAATAACTGATGCAGGGAAGATATATTGATGAATGCTAAAATTATCAGGCAAAGCTTTAAGGCGAAACAGATAATCTGCATAGCCTCAAACTAGCTTCCCCGGTATGTTTGATACTGTGGTATTTACTCTAGGTCTGTGCTGTGCTGTGCTTAGTCGCTCAGTTGTGTCCCACTCTGCGACCCCATGGACTATAGTCCACCAGGCTCCTCGGTCCATGGGGATTCTCCAGGTAAGCATACTGGAGTGGGTTGCCATGCCCTCCTCCAGGGGATCTTCCCAACCCAGGGATTGAACCCAGGTCTCCCACATTGCCTGCAGATTCTTCACTCCGTCCAGGAGTGGGAGCTTAATTCTCCTCCCTTTGACTGTGGGCTGGACTCAGTAACTCACTTTTGATGAAGAGAATATGAAAGAGAAACACAGTAACTGTGGTGAAGAAATTTGCAGACACCACCTTAACCCAGTGATCAAAGTTAACATCTCCAATAACAGACCATGTCAATGCCATGTACTACCTGCTATGATTAAATGATATCATCATCTATGTGATGGTTTCCCCACAAAATATAATTTCATGGGAAACGTGAGACAAACTGAGGGAAATCTACAAAATACCAGGCTACTACTCTTCAAAGTGTCAAGGTCATGAAAGACAAAGAAGAAAGATCAAGAAATTGTCCTATATTGGAGAAGACCAAGGAAAACAGGACAGCTAAATGCAATCTCCAACTGGATCTTGGAATGAGAAAAGGACATCAGTGGGAGAACTGTAGAAGTCTGCATAAAGTCCATAGTTTGTTTAATAGTTCTGTGCTGGTGTTAACTTCTTAGTTTTGATAAAGGTATCCTGATTACATAAGATGTGAACATTAGGGGAAACAGGGTTAAGGTACATGGGAACTCTGTACTATCTTTGCAACTGTTCTGTAAAACTAAAATTACTTGAAAATTAAAAAAAAATTTTTTCATTTAGTGACAATTGCTGACATGTTGTTTGTGACATGAGTTGTGCTATTTAAGCAGCTTGCAACAAGGCAGGTGTAGTAAAATTGCTGAGATATTATAAAGCTGATAAGGCTCTACTTTGAAATATACAATCAGGCATATAAAAGGAATGTGCAATTCATCTGTTCTTCTTCAAATATTTGTCACAGAGTTATCTGTTATCTTTTGTTCACTTGGAGTGAACAGTTAAAAATATTTTGAGAAATATTTTAAGACAGAAAGCTAAAGTAAACGCAGTGCTATCTTGTCTATTAATAGCTTGTCCCTAGAATAAGTAGGGACAAAAAAAAGGACAATATAGAAATATTTTCTCCTTTTTACCAAACGAGTGCATCACTACAAATGGGAAACACAGAAGAGCAGTTCTCAGAGCGCTCTTGGCCAGGGAAGAATAATAATTAGTGCTTCTTTTCTTCTGCACTCCTCCCAGTCTAACCTACACATTTAGCTCTTCTCTGGTCATCTCAGTATGTCCTAGGAAGGACAAAGGGAAAGGTGAGTTAATTCTGTAGAGGAAGAATGAGTAGTTGCAAAATTATGAAAGTAAAGGGAAGTTGAAGGGAACAGAAATTGGCCATGAATTAACTGCAAGGCTTATAAATGGGGCTCCCCTGGTGGCTCAGATGGTAAAGCATCTGCCTGCAATGTGGGAGACCTGGGTTCGATCCCTGGGTCAGGAAGATCCCCTGGGGAAGGAG